GTTATGCCATCTCTTGTACTCCATACATACTTACATATGTAATGATTTGCACAAGAAACACAAGATGCACCAAACTTTGTTGTTGAAAATTCACTTTGCTCAGGGTTAAAGATAAAACTTTGCACACTGAGCCTGCTGCTCCCGTGGTGACCTGAGGACGAAGCAGAGCTGCAGCCCGTGACTGAGACGCTGCCAGGTCTCTGCAGGAGGCCCAAGCTTTCTGTCAGCTGGACGGAGATTAGAGCAGAATGTTTTACCTGAGGAGGGCTCTGCACCATGTGGGAGACAACGCACTGAGATAGAGCTGCGGACAAATGAGCATGTTTTGTATGCCGGGCATCAAAGCCTGTCTCAAGCTGATCTGCTGTATGAGTAAGGCGTAATAACCAATAATACAATCACTCTAATAGGATCTGAGCTGCTGAGTAGATCCATAAAAATAGAACAATCCTTGGAGGATGCCTACGTCTGCTTCTCTCTCACTTCTCTCCAACTGCTGATCATGTTTTCCAGAGGCTGATGGTTTAATAGTCTCTCAGGTAAATACTTTCTATTACGGACTTCTGTATCTCATGTAGGGTCATCACACACCAGTAATATGCTTTTAAAGAGTATATTCACAGATGGCATCAGATACAGTTAGGATTTTACAGTAAGACTGATTTTGTTAGGATGTATATATGTTCAGTAATGTCTGTGTTTTCAGTGACAGATGAGTAGAAATGAAAAACGTATTAATATGTGTTTCTTTAATGCAATATGGACCCTTAAAATACACACCTGTCAGAGCTACAGTATTTACAACGGTACATATAACTGTACATACAGTATAGGCTTAACATATAACAGTACATGCAATGCATATAACAGTACATACAACAGTATACAGAGTACTTACAACAGTACACACAATGAATATAACAGTACATACAACAGTTCCTAATGTTTAATGTACAGTCTCTTGGGGTCGTCAGTACAGATGCCACAACTTAAGATGTTTACTAAGGAAAGATTAAAGTCGTAGTTTCAGCTTCTGTCATTCTGTTTACTCATAATGAGAAGTTCAGTTGTTCTGTATTATAGTATTTATCCTCTTTGTGTAACGTGATCCTTCAACCACACAAACATTAGCTGACGTATTGAGCCTCCTTCACTGTGGGCTCATCTGCATCATGAGCAAAATCCTCCCGACCACTGGGGTACTTTGATGATTTTCAGAATTTGATTGATTATTATTTGCTTGAATATTATTTGAATACTTAAATAGGAAAACTGTCCCTCATGATTTCCCAGAGCCCAAATTTAACATCTTCACATCATCTGTTTTTAGTAAAAAAAAAACTCCCAAATTATAAATTTTAATGAGACAGAAAAAGCAGAAAATCGTCACGTTTGAGGTTTTACTTAATGAGGTAATCATGTTTATTTGGCTTCACACTGACGTCATGTTCCACTGAAAGAAAAGACTGTTTCTTATGTTCCCTGATTTTTCTGTTCATTTATTTTAAAGAAAGCATCTAACTCGATAAGCTTGAGAAATGGCGCCTCCTTGTGTGAAGTTTAGCAGCAGCATTTTAAAAAGACATGATGATTAAAATCAAAGCAAGTTTTTCATTTGTGTCAGAATCTACTGTGTGGGGATCCACAGCAGAATAATGAGTACGTTCTGTATAACGTCCACAGGGCTGAAGACAGAATGAGGACGCTGCTCGTTCAAATCCTCTGCATCGCTCTCTCAGAGGTGGTGCTGAGCGCTGCAGACTCCTCTCCACTGAGCCAAGACAGGCTGGAGAGTGAGGCCTAAATACACACACACACACACACACAGACACCTCTCGTGCTAGCTAAGCATATGCTAACCACGTCAGTTCTACGTCAAAAAAACCTTGATTTGAATTGAGGACGTCATCACTTCAACATGTTTTTGATTGGAGGAAAAAGACTTAACATACTTTTTGTTATCACCATCAAACTTAACTGCATTGTGTGTTTTTGGTGGGTGCAGAGCTGTCTGCAGCAGGGGAGCGGTTTGTAATTGAGGAAATGAAGCGGGCTCTACTCGGGGTGAAGCACTCAAAGGAAACCATGGAGAAAAAAGAGGAGAGGCACATGCACCTGATGGACTCCCTGAGACACAGTAACGACAAGAAGAAGGTGAACCGAGTTCTCGTGGCTGCCATTAAAGTGTCTCTGCAAACTTCTTATATTTGCAGGAATCGTTCCTGATGTTAGAAACCCACAACCAAAATACCACGAGATTACTCTGTATTTAAGTATCATAACTTTTCACAGAACATGACTATTGCAGTTGAACAGTCTTTGTGACTTAATCCGAGAGCTGCCACATATTTTCTGCCTCATGGATGAAGGCAAAGCCGCACAGAGCCTCATGGAAAACCTCAAAGCAGACAGTGAATAATGAACGTGGGAGTACGGCTGGTTTTAAAGAGTCGGGGGTGTAGCTTTACAAGATAAATGCACTGTCTGTAGATTAATCTGCTTTTTCTGTCATTTTAGAATAAAACCCTCCCAAAAACCACATCTTCTAAACTCTGGCTTATTAGGAGGGTAAGTAGCTGTGAGTGATCTTTCATGTTTGGGGTTTCCTTCAGGGGGCGACGCAGCTGGCTCGAGAAACAGAGCAGAAACTCAAGGAGGCCGAGCAGCAGTGTGAAGATTTAACCAAATCCTCCTTTGACGAGTGCCGACCGTGTCTCGAAGACACGTGTAAGGCCTTCTTCACCTCCACATGTCGACGTGGCTTCGCCGCTTTCTCGTTCAAGGTTTGAACTGAAGCATTATCCATTTATAACGTCTGTGAAAGTGTAAAAGTCACGACATGGTTTGAATCCGGTTCCAAACACGTTGCTGATGTGAATCTTTCCCTGCAGGTGGAGGAGTTTTTCAGAGAAATGGCCACCCAGTTGGAACCAGCAGAGCATGTTTACGGTCAAAATGAGGACAAAGTAGCTCGGACCAAGTCGCCTCAGAATGACACTGATGAGAGTAAATCCGACCTGGAGCTGCTGCAGGCGGAGGAATCGTTCAGCCGGCTGCTGTCAAACATCAGCCTCCTCTGCAACCACAGCATCACTCTGGTCAAGAAGATGCCGCACGTCTTCGGTCATTCTTTTCTTGCAGCCTTGGACATGGAGCTCCGGCCCAGCCCGCGGTCAGGCCTCCAGGGTGGCTTGACCGCAGGCTTCTTCAGGACCGTGGGCCTGGATCACATCCTGGATTCAATGTACGACTTTGGGAGGAACGTGGTGGAAGAGTTCAGCTCCACAGTGGTGGATGTGTTCGAGGAGATACAAGAAGCTGAGGAGTATTTTCAGCAGGCGAGCAGAGGTATATGATTTATTTGTATTATTTACTCCCTTGTAGAATGACATTAACCTTTTGTAACATCTGCACAGACACAGGATCACTCTCCTCTCTGGAACAAACCCAGAGCAGATATATGTGCAGACGACTGCGCAGAGAAGCATCGGTGTGTTGGCAGCTCCAGGATCTGTGTGAGACCTGCAAGGATTATCTGTTAAAAGGTAAATCACTGGTGCAGAGGTGTGATTTTTGATGAGTGTTCGATCTCAGGCCTGTTTAGCTCATAAATTAGGCTATTTCATTAATGCTTAGCCAAGAAAGAATTGCCCTGACATTTTGCAGAATAGCGTTTTTGGGGACGGAACCACGGTATCAAAGTCTCAACCATTCATGAGCCAGTCTCAGCTGTCAATCATGATGTCTCACCCCATTTTTCCAGCATTAAAAACAGTATAAAAACCCAACTTTACCTGATGTGTACATGTATCTACTCAGAGTGTCCCAGTGTCCAGCAGCTGCACTCTCAGATGGAGGAGATGTACATGTTGCTGAACGCCTCTCGTCAGCAGTACGACGACAGACTGCAGCTGGTGCAGAGTCACACGGCAGATACTCAGAGGTGGCTCAGCAGCGTGCACGACAAGTACGACTGGGTCAACAGGCTGTCCAACAGCACGCTCGGCCCACACGTGTTCAACATGATCAGGGTCTGTTAGATTTGTCAGATCATCGTTTTGCACAGTCTCTGATCTTTGTAAAAGAACATTCAAAATGATCCTGTTATTTGAAATCTGATGTTGAAGATGTAAGAATAACTCCATCCTGTTTCTTAAACATTTATGTGACTAAGTTTATTGGTCTTTAGAAGTTGATCCAGAAAGTTAAAGCAACACTAAGTAACATCATCTATAAATAATAATCTATAAAATTAAATTCTGTGTTGCGAGACGATGAGCTGATGCACGATCTCACGTTTCAGGTGATTCCACATCAGCAGGTGAAGAGTCCCAGACCTAAACCAGACACCAGTGTGCTCGTCGCCATACTGGACTCTCCCCCGATCACTGTTCGAGTCCCTGCAGAGCTGGAGGTGGACGAACCAGCTTTCATCCAGTTTGCAGCTCAGGAGGCTCTGACGCTACATAAACAGCAGATAAGAGGTGTCGAGGCTCAGTCAGATATCACGATGCAAATGACATGTTATCTAAGATGATCATAACTTTCCTCATTCAACGACTCTGTATTAAAGATTAAATGGATCCATATGCAACAAGGCATAGGCATCTGTTGCCATGGAAACATTTAAGTGCTTGTCAGCTTTTTTTTTGTTTTTGTTGTTGACATTTTTAATTGAACAATGGATTTGTTTGTCTCCTCCACAGGACTTGCGTGACACAGTGATCTCTACATCTGCAGAGCTTCTCCAGACACTGGATAAAGAGCCCAGAGTCCAAATAAACTGACAACTCGAACGTTTACATGCACCGCTTGTATTCTTTGTACTCATTTAAATTAATTCTTAGGGTTTACAATGTTTCCGCAATAAAATGTTGTACATGCACTCTGCTCCGACCCCATTCTTTTTCACTTTGCATCCGTGTTTGCATGTGTTGTGACTTGTTTGACTCCTCAAATTGATGAAGTTGTTGTTAAGTTTTCACGTCTTTTTTCTATCTGCACGTGTTTTCTTCCTTCGCAGTGCGTTGAACGCTCTCGGCCTCTGTTTGAAATGCAGAACACGCCCTCTTCCTGAATCTTGTTCAACCCGGAAGTTATCTCCAGAAGCGCCAAAACTTGAAAGTTTCCCTCCCGCGTTCACTCAAACAATGCCGGCCACCTCAGACATCTACATCGGGCAGCAGCCCTCGGAGGACGGCGGGGAGAAATCGGAGCAGCCACCCGCTGCAGAGGAGAGGAGGACGGGTGTTCTCTGCGATGAGCGCGGGTACCTGGACCAGATCCACTACATCCTGCAGCACGGCCGGAGGAAGGGCGACCGGACCGGGACCGGAGTGGTGTCTGTGTTCGGTGCTCAGGGCAGATACAGTCTGAGAGGTCGGTGATAAAGCACAGAAGTAACAAAGTCAAAGTCATGGTCACTTTACATTACAATACTTTTTATATCATGCCACTTTTTTATCCTCAGTACTTTTTTGCACATTGTCTGTTTGCAGGCTGATTGTTTTCTTGTTTGTGTAGGTTTCAGATATTTCTGTCTGTTTTTTGTGTTCTTGCCTTTTCCACTTTCATTTCTGTAGCGTGAGTCTTTCTGCTGCTGTAATTAGTACATTTCCCCGTTGTGGGATGAATAAAGTATATTTAAGCTAATCTCAAACTCCTTTCAGTATATTTAGGAAGTGTCACCTGTTTGTAGACCTGGGGGTGCTGTAAAGTCTTTATACAATATCATTGTATTGTTGGTTGCAATTTTTAATAACCACATAAAATAAACAAAGGCTGATTATATTTTCTTTATGATTCTTTGAACAATCAATCATGAAAAAAATAACCAGTTCATTTTTGCTGTAGATCAGTTTCCTTTGCTGACGACAAAGAAAGTTTTCTGGAAAGGGATTCTTGAAGAGCTGCTGTGGTTTATTAAGGTGAGGATGATGAGTCAGTAATTGTTAAAAAGGGCCAATTCACACTAATTGTCTTTAAGAAATAATTTCCCAAAGCAATGCTAATATGCCTTTGATTGTTTAACAGCACCAAACTCAATCTTACAAAAAAACTGAAACTAACCCTTAAACGTCACAAGCGGCATTTCTGTCTGTAGCTTTGTGTTGACATGCACTGAATTAGTCACTGATATCTGTTTTCGTTCGTGTCACAGGGGTCAACCAACGCCAAGGAGCTCTCAGAGAAAGGGGTGAAGATCTGGGAAGCCAACGGGTCTCGACAGTTCCTGGATAATCTCGGGTTCACGGAAAGAGAAGAGGGCGACCTGGGACCCGTGTACGGTTTCCAGTGGAGGCACTTTGGTGCAGAATACACAAATATGCACGCAGGTGAAGTTTGTCAAAGCCAAACCCAGTGTCAATATTAGAATTTTTTGGTTGGCAGATGCAACTGAAAGTGTGTTTTTGGATAGTTCAGGTATTTGCAGGAAGATGAGGCAGGTTTTTCCACCCATTACACAATACAATAAGAAAAATAAGTGGTATAAGAATATTCATCGTCAAGTAATGGGGCACGCAGTACTTTGGTGAAAGGAAGTAGGGATTTCATGAAAAGATCTTTGGTGCTCTCGCAAAACTGAAACGTGGAACCAAACCTTAACATACCTGACAGATTACTGGGCTTCAAGTATCCCTTGATCCTTCCCTCAACAGATTACACAGGTCAAGGTGTCGACCAGCTGCAGCAAGTCATCGACACCATCAAGACGAATCCAGAAGACAGACGGATCATCATGTGTGCATGGAACCCTAAAGGTGCAGCAGACACCCGACTTTAACTTTATTCTGTCCCGACTGGGTTTAGATATCTCTTAAATCTCATTTTGTCTAACGATGACATATTTAATCTTCGCTTCCTTGTGTTTCACAGACCTGCCCCTCATGGCTCTGCCCCCCTGCCACGCCCTCTGCCAGTTCTACGTGATCGATGGCGAGCTGTCGTGTCAGCTGTACCAGCGCTCGGGTGATATGGGTCTGGGCGTCCCTTTCAATATCGCCAGCTACGCACTTCTCACCTACATGATCGCTCACATCACGGGACTGAAGGTAAGAGCACTGTCCTGACCTCACTTTAAGATTAAAGAGATTGATGTGTTCGGTTACTTCAGCTGTCGTGTTTTTTTAAAATTCTTTCCCTTCAGCCTGGTGACTTTGTTCATACGCTGGGAGACGCTCACATTTACATCAACCACATCGAACCTCTCAAAATACAGGTGGGTTCATTGAAACTGTTTTTTAATTCTCTCTGCTCTCTTCTGGATTTTAAACTTACATGAGCTCATCTGTCTTTAACTCACAGCTCCAGAGAGATATACGCCCGTTCCCCAAACTCAAGATCCTGAGAAACGTGGAGAAAATCGATGATTTCCGGGCCGAGGACTTTGAAATCTGTGACTACAACCCTCATCCCTCCATCAAGATGCAGATGGCTGTGTAATAAGCCTAATGGAAAGACAATTGGGGATGAATGTGGAGGGAAAACATTTATTACACTCTTCTGTATTTATGACTGTTATTTTTATTTCCAGGATAATAATAAGAGGTTATCAGCATCACAAAAAGATCTAAGATAGATATGTTTTTTGCATTTAGGTGAACTACACCTTTAAACTACATTAAGTTCTTACAGTAGTTGGGAGAAAAACAAATCTACACTTTGGATTTTCTGCAGCTGAACTTTTAATGTCCTGAAATCCTCTAAACTGTTTTACTTGAAAATATGGTAATATGGTGATTCATGTATTTCTATCAATAAAGATGGTACATTTGGAGTCGGCCTCGTGTGTCAGGAAACTTGTAGTAATTAAACAGCTCACAGAGTGTAAAATTGAAATTGTGCAGATTGACAAAATTACAGCTGTCTGGGTTTTTATAATGTAACTCAGACAAGTCTAATTATTCGTGTAAAAGAGCCTCTGGTGACGCGTTGGAGATAAAACTCCTCATTTGTTCACGAGCAGCTTCCATACGTCGCCTTCAGGGAACTGGTGTTTCCGCACGGACGACTCCAGCATCTCACAGGAGTAGCCTGGATCCTGAGAACAGCAGCAGATAGAGTCGTTCTATATGAATTATGTAAAGTATGTATAATTATATTCTGTACCTGCACGCTGCCGTACCTTTGGGGGCATGTAGTGGGCGTCCTGAATCACCACAGGGCTGGTGAAGTGTTCGTGGAGGTGATCCACGTATTCGCACATCCTGTAGGTGAAGTTGTGATTAGGATTATCACGAACCAATCAGATACGGAAAACAGCTCGAACCAGGAAGTGAAAACTCAGCCCGCTCTCACCGGTTGTTGAGACTCGCAGACACGCAGACGTAATCGAACAGAATCAGATGCTGGACGAGCTCACACAGACCGACTCCCCCAGCGTGAGGACACACGGGCACTGGGGGAAAGAGGTGTACATGCTATAACAACTTTTACACTTTTTATTTTCTAACAAATGTTATTATTGATTCATGTATTTAGCATATTTGAAAACTTGTTTGATAACCTTTTGCAGCCTGTTTTTGCTTTTTTCAGAAAAAGGAAATGACAAAAGGACTCAGCATCTTGAATTCTTACCCTGGAACTTGTGGGCCATCAGCAGCACAGCCAGGTTTTCGTTGACGCTGCCCAGCCGACAGCTGTCGATCTGGACAAACTGCAGCGCCGAGGCCTGGAGGAACTGCTTAAACATCACCCTGTTTTGACACTGGAGAGGAAACGGCCATCAAACATTATCATTTCATCAGTCAGTGTGTATGTGTCCTAGAAACAAACTTGAGCTCTGACCTGCTCCCCTGTTGCCACTCCAATCCCGAGCGGAGCCAAAGCCTGCAACGACAAAGTCAGACATCTTTTATCAGTGTTGAACTTGAACAAATGAAACTGATGAGACTCAGGCCGGAGGGTTAAAGTGACTTAATATTCAACTGTTACTCAAATGACTCCAAAAACAGAAAACAACACAATAAAGAGACACAAAACAACCTTAGAGACAACAAGGACAACAAACAAACACACAATGGGAGGTCATCTTGCTCCTACGTAGGAAGGTTGGGGACACTTTTACATGTCTGTCCAGGTGCCCATTGTCTCATAATCTGTCCAATTATTGAAACCATAGACAGTTTATAACAAAGGATTGTGGACTCCAGGTCTGGAGAGTGAAGCCAATGCAGAAGTGCCAACACTTGCATTCTCTCAAATGACCAGCAGAGGGCGAAAGGATTTCTATAGAAGTCTATGAGAAAAGGACTCTCCTCTAACTATGCGGGACATAAAACCAAGATGGCACTGGATGAAACGCCAAACTGTTACATGAAACTTTTCTGTCTTACCTTGGAGATGGTAGCGTGGCCCAGGATGTCGTCTGGAGACGTGGGCTCTTCGATCCAAAGAGGTTTGAACTCAGAGAGGCTGCTCACCCAGCTGATGGCCTCGCCTACGTCCCACCTCTGGTTGGCATCGATCATCTGCAAACACAAAACACTTCAGTACACTGTCATTCTGTGAAATAAAAACTAGCTGCATCCACATCAAATCTGGTACAGATGCATCTGGCGTCCACACTACTCCAGGGTTTTATGCTATGCTTTGGCCGGGGTGAAAACAAACTCACCAACACGTTGTTTGGTCCAATCATTTCCCGGATGAGTCGACACCTGCGGATGTCGTCCTCGAGATCGGCGCCGACTTTCACCTTAAACTTGCTCCAGCCGCTTTTAAGTGCGTCAGTGCAGAGCTTCAGAAAAACACAGCTGTCAGTGACAAGACAAAATAAATCATTGTCTGTACGAGTGCATCGTGCATTTTATAGCACAGAGACCTGTTTGAGCTGCTGGTCTGAGTATCCGAGCCAGGCACAGGAGGTGGTGTACGCAGGATAACCCTCCCTCAGCATCTGATCCTCTGGCAGGTGAAAGAAACACAGTTTCACCACACAGTAATAAATACCCGAGGAGAAGTGAGTTTTAATGGAGCAATCATGGGCTGCAGGGGCTTATTATGCAGGCTAATAGCACTCCTGTTAGTTTCTAAAGAGGCAATTTAGTTCCACAAAATCCCATTCAGCCATGTAATTAAAGAGTCTAGTGTGCTCACCTCTCTGCTGCTTCCCCTCTTGTGCCTTCACGAGTATTTCTGAATCAGGAAAGAGAAGCAGAGAGAGTGTGTTGCTGTGATTGAACTGCCTACAAGTCAAAGGTTTGTTACTGGGCACAAATCTACATCATCTACAGTCTCACCCAGAGCCTCCTTCTCCGTCAGCGCGTCAGTGATGTATCTGAAGTCGATGCACGACACGATCTGCTCTGGATCCTGAACTGACACACACGATACGTCATACTTTCCTTCTACACAACCTGAACATGAATCTTCCATCTTAATTCACCGGGGCTCACCATGTCAACAAGGAGTTTCCACAGTGGCTGCGGGGAAAACAACAGGCTGTGAGTCACGATGTGTCATAATTGCGAAGGAAATACTAATAATGGCTCAATCTCATGGCCTCACCTTGCCCTCCGCCCTCGCCCACAGGTCCCACACGGCGTTCAGAACTGCAGAGGTGGCGAGGTGGATCACACCTTTCTCTGGACCCAACTGATAAAACAAGAGGTTTAAGAAGATGCATTTGACATCCCCCTTAAAAATAATCAACATTGGATAAATATCACTGAAGGAAACACAAAACTCAAGAAAAAAATATCTGGATAACATCTGAAATTTCGAACTCACTTATCCATATTGGTCAGGCTCTAATAATCTGAAAACAATAAGGAATGGCTCTTATTTAGGATATTTAATGTTGTTTTGGATGAGGAGACAGAAGCTGGTTCTTATTAACATACACACAAATTAAATGAAATACAGGAGAAGAGGATGTGAGTCACTCTCCATGTAGGAACAAGCCAGGAGCCATATCGAGGCCAGGAAACCAAGTATTCAGGTGACATGATTCCCTGTTACTCATTTTACTGTGTGTGATGCTCATCTGTGTGTGTGTGTGTGTGTGTGTGTGTGTGTGTGT